AAGAGAATTTGGATTGATTTTTCTATGTAGAAATCTAACCATGTAAAGTTTCTTAATTTTAATTAGTTAAAGAATTTAGAAATTGTGGCTTTTCACCTTATTTTTTAAATTTAAAAATATCCTCTTTTTTAAATCATGAATTAGATAAAAAATTTCAATGTTGAAAATAAAGATGATATTACAAATTATAAATGAGGTTTAAGAAATAATACCAATTTTTTTATAAGAATAATTTTAAATATTTAAAATCATTATAAAATACATTTAATAATTTATTATTATATCTAATTTATTTATATTTATATAGAATAGAATTAAATATTTTTAATCATATGCAAAATTCTAAAACCACCACTTTCTCATTGGTAGTTTTATTTGATTCTCTTAATTATTTTGTGATAATAATGATAATTGCAATTATAATAGAGACCACAAATTACTGGAAATTTTGTTTCTAAAATTCAAAAAAAAATACCACTTTGTTAATTGTTCTAAAATATTTATCAAAAAGATTTATTTCTTTTGAAAAATATTATGCTACATCATTTTAAAGTTTTTTTTTATTCATGAAATGATTAAATCAAAGATTTATAAATATTAATACATAAAATAATATAGTTTTAAAACTTTATGCATTTCTTACAAATAAAATTGCACTTACATGTATAATAACATGATTATTTTAATTATGTTATCTATTCTTGTTAATCTCTTAGTGAAGTACAAGAAACATTTAGTTTAATAATTTGTGTGCAATCATCACACTGAAATCAAAAAAATGAAATCACTGCTTCAAGTGATTGAATGTTGTAGAACCACAGTACAACATAGTCAAGATAAGTTTTATCGTTTTCAAACAAAACATCCAAAAAAAAATAAACAATCTCACAATAATAAGAATCTATTAAATTTTTACAAATAAATTTTACTTCTATCAGAATATTTTTGACATGTAAAGTTTTATTAACAACACAAAGCTTTCATCAGACAGAATTTTGGGTGGGTATTTACAGAATGTTTGACATTGTGTCTTGTCCCAATACAACCTGTTAAAAGATCAGTGAAGATGCTTTTTAAAAAACAAACAAAAAAGTAAATAAAAAATCCCATGAAATTAGGAATATTGACAGTAACATATCCACTTTATATTAAATATTAAATCAAATCAAATCAAATCAATTACTGGTGTCTGCTTGAAATTTCCTGATTGGCTGAATCTTAACTGTTAAACGATGACTATTAACTTCAGTCAATTGACTGAGTTCCACCTGATATGTGATTGGCTGATTTGTTTTCATACATTACTTCTTATGTTTTTTTAATATATTATCCAACCCAGATGTGATTTTTTTCGAAAATTTTAGCAAAAATCATGAGAAAGAATATTTTTAAAAATTCAACCAATTACATGTAAAATCTTCAGATTATTTGCAATGATATTGCGATAATATGGTCTTTTAAGATATAAATCTTCTTGGACTCAGCAATCAGTTAAGCTGCTGAAAGGGTCTCATTTTTTTCATATATATATGTATGTAATTTTTATTTTGTGGAAGCTTACATGTACCACAGAGCCCCTTTGACTATTACTTTTAAAAATGATTACAATGTTGATGATGATGAACTTATGTAGCCATCTACATGGCAATATTTTATGACATTTTATCAATATTTTTACAAATCGATGTTTACCTTGATGGGTTTGGGGAATACTTGAAATGGCCACCAAGAAGCTTATCCAAATGCCAAGTGTAATGTCTACCAAAGAGGTCTGAATGCAGTTCCCTGTTGTCTTTCACACAACTATCTCAATTTCAACTTTCTTGTGCTAAATTGACCTATGACTAGAATTCATGACTTTTGACTTTCTATGGTCAAACTTTTTAGACATGTGGTCAAGGACTTGTGGACAATATGGAGCTGCCAATTCTACTTTTAATCAATTCAAGTATACACAGTTAGCTTGTTTTCTGAGGGTTTTGTTTTACATTTAAGGGCCTCAGTTCACAAGAATGAGTCAGTGAATAATATTCAAGGAATTTCACAATCACATTTAAAACTTGAAATAAAATTATAATGTGTTATATTATTTGATTTTAAAATATCTTTGGCATTATAAAAAATAAGCTATATGTCTTTTAGGATAACTTTAGCCAAACTTGTGGTCAAATTTAATGTGCATCTATCTATATATATATATATATATATATATTTGATTAAACTTTTACAAGATTGTTTTGGCATCTAAGAACTTATTTTTTCATTTTCGGAATAGATATCCTACTACCTTATTTAGTTTCACTATATTCTACTTTTTTTCCCATTGTATTTATTATACAATTGTCATTAAATTCTATTAATAAATATCATTTGATACAAAATATAATTTAAAAATACTAATATAGACATCTAGCAATATTAGAAGAATTTTTTGAATTTTAAATTTTTTAAAAAATAATAAATTTTAATAATTAATTAAAACTTTAGGAATCAATTCTAACTATTATGGACATGAATTTGAATAAAATTTTAAAGATAATAGTACACAATTATATCACCAAAAGAAGAAAAAAAAATAGATATAGAATTGAAACTAGAATGACTATTGCCAAATACAAAAGCACTAGAAAATCTTGAACTAAGGTAAAGTACAAGAAAGATCTAACTCTTGCCACTATATATACTATCTACTAATGTATTATATTGTGATATACTATAGACCATATGGTACATGTCCAACTTACAAGACACATGTTTAATTCATAGAGTAAGTTTCCAATATGTGCACCACATAACCAACTTGGAATATAAATGGATAAATGTGTAACATGTGGCCAATTTGTTAACTTATCAATTACTCATAAATATATTCAAAGTCTAAAAAGCTTCTAAGAAACTTCAAAACAAGTTATCAATAATTTAACCTATTTTTCTTATTACTTCTTATATGACACCCATATATATTCACTAATATCATATCCACGTCAATGTATGAGATATTTCAATTTGTTTCAACATTAATTTGAATCTAAGCTCTCTTCTACTCCAAATTCTTGGTTTTTATCTATTTTAACAAAAGATAGTAAAGAATTTTTTATTCTTAATATATTGATTTTTGTATAAGACTCAATGAGAGATATGTGAAACATAAGAAAGATCTTTATTAATAGTAATAATTATAATTAATATGCCACCAATTTTTTTTTATTATTATAAAAACAAATTGGCCAAGCTTTTGATGATAAAACTTGTTAAAAGACGAATTAATTTTGATATTACAATGAAGTAATCATATCTTATTAATAAATTTGAATAAAGTTTTTTTTTTAAAAAAAAAAAAACATCTTCAGTTATTATTTATTTTTTTTCATTTTACATACCAAATAATCTACTAATAGATTTTTAACTTTAAAAAAAATTTAAAAATTAAATTAAGGATGTTAATCATAATTGGTAAAAAAATAGAGTTTTTTAAATAGAAAAATATAATATATTATTATATAAAAAATCTACTAATAAAATATATTAATTAAATTTTTTTAGTAATAATTGAAGATGCATTAAAAATACTATTTAAATATATTATTTCTTTATCAGTTTAAAAAAATTTAAAAATAACAAGATATTAACTTATAATATGATAAAGAGTATTCTCCAAAAATTGAATATGAATTGAGACTTACAATCAATTATAATATCACTTGAAAGTCCATGATATTGATAATTATTATTTAAGGAGAATTTAGTTGTTTCTTCACTATTATTTATTTTTTAATATTACATAAAATATATTATTTTGATAAAAAATTTAAAAAATTAAAAAAAAAAAAAAAAAAAAAAACCCCCTTTACAAAATTAGAATCATAAGAATTTGAAATTAAAAGATTTATGATGAAATCTATGGAAAGAGTTGATAAGAACTTCTTTAAAATAGGTAAGGATTGAAAAAATCTATAAAGTCTATACCATATAATCTTTAATTTAGAATAAGAGTCACTTAACTAAAAAAAATGTTTTCACTTCTTTCTACACCGGAGGCCACTAAAAATCTCTTGAAATAAGTTCCAATGTTTTATTATTTCTAAAGTGGCTGGTTGTTGGAAAGTCAAGTTGTGCTTGTAAAGTATATAATATTTCTTTAGCTTTAGAAATATCTAAATTCTTTTAAAGAGATTTTGTTTTTAAATTCTTACTTATTTTAAGTGAAAGACACATTTTTCCATCTTAAAGTATTATTATACATCTCTAAGTTTTTGTAGTACAAGACAAATATGTTATTTATGTTCTTTTATATTCTTAAAATAAATATATATATATATATATATATATTTAAATAACATATAATAAAATTATTTAGATTTTTATAAAATATATTATTCATCAAATACTAAAAAGTAATTGGAATATTTGTAAGTCCAAAAGGCATGACATTATATTTAAAATTGCCATATCTAATACAAAGTACAATCTTCCAAGTCATATAAAGTTCATTAAGATATTAAACATATTTTAAGCTAAAATAGAGCTTGATTTTTTGTAGAAATTTCTCAAGACAATCATTTTAGCATCCAATAACTATAATGTGTAAATTTCAATTTCAAGTTGTTGCAATGGAACATTGACAAAAGTATGTTCCTCCATTCACAACTTCTCAATAGGCATAATATTCTTACTTGTGTTGGAGCTTGCACTCATTCATTGCTCTAGAAAATATAATTTGGGAGATTAGGATTCATAATCTCAATTCCTTAGCTAAGTTATATATATATATATATATACACATGTTCAATGTTCAATGAATGTTAATGAAACTGATAATGCTATTTAAAATATCAAGATTCTAATTGGCTTTTATCAAGCAGTGTGAGAACACCAAGCAACCAAGCTACTCACATGAACTACAAGAGAAAGGAACTACACCTAATTAAGCTACTTTTCTCACATAGTTGGTCCACACAACACACAGTAGCAGCAATATGATGAATGCCAAGACAAGCAGCTGGAATGAATCGTTGTCGGTAAATTCTCATATAATGAAATGCCAGAAAAACGAACGCAACTTCCCCATTTAGAGACAATTGCTTATTGAAAATCTCCAGTGATTCTGGACAATAAGATAACATCCATTCTAGCATCTATCTCTAACGGATCCTGCAGGAGAAGTGGGTAATGGGCTAGTCTCTACAACCTAGACAGGAACAGGAGATGGGAGTGAAAGAGCAGAGGCCGAAGGGGAGGTCTCGAACTCCACAATTAATGTGGTAGCAGCAGACTGTGGGTAAGCACCATCGTCGGCTGGAGTCACAGCATGTGCACGGCGAGCACTCCCTGAAATCGCCCAACTTCCGCCTGTGAGTACTTGCGAGGCTTACATTTCTGTGGAGGTTGTAGAGTAGAGTCGTAACTGGAGCAATCCGGAGTGTCGTTCCATTTGTGAGTCTGATTGTAGCGCTGGTGAGCGTCGTAGTGTCCATTTCAGAGTTTTCTGTGGTCTGCAGGACATGTCGAACAGGACGGGGTCGGTGAAGATGAACTTACTTCATATGTTATTTAGGAGTGAGTACCTGTATAATCTCAGGGGTTGATAAGAAAACAAGAGTAGAAGAAAGGAGAAGAGAACACACATAATAATTATAGGTTCAGATCATCACTATTGTAGGGTCAATTTTCAGCAAGGTATTTTAACTGCGTGTGAATTAGCCATTCCTCAAAAGAGATTGATCAGTCTTCATGCTTCTACTCCAAGATCATACTGCAACCTGCTCAGGGAATTCTAGGGGTTGCTTGCTTATGCTTCTCACATGTTGTAAGCGTTTTGAACCCCGTACTATCATAGTCAAGATTACCAGCAAGTTTCAGACGTGTAAACTTGCTCAAATATGGGTGAAACGACCTGACAATTGAAGCTGAATGTTTACGTGAGTGAGATTTTTCAATTATAAGATTCTCAATGAGCGCTACCCGTGCTTCTCTGGCGTCCCACTGTTAGCCGTAAGCCAATTAATCCCAGCCTGCCTCGCGTTTCGATGGTTTTCGGGGGCGAAAGCTTAGGAATCTTTCAATCAAGAAGACCACCTTGCTCACGAAAACGAAAATTTGCATGTCAAAGTGATTCAAATCTTTCGTGAAGCATACAGCATTTCCACCAATATTTATCATGCGGATAAAATACTAACCTGAGAGTGGCGAAGTCCAATGCCAAGCGCAGCCTCGCCTAAACTCACAGAATATGATTAAAATTAGAGACAATAGTCGCAGGCAGCATTCAACTGTGAAAAAAATTTACATGTGTTACAAGGACGTTATCACCCAAAGGTTTATGTCCTAAAGCCTTAAGCTTCTATTCTGAGTCACAATTTGAACAAATATGATAAGGTTTTTGGAGGGATTTAATGAAGAATGTGGGGGAAAGGTCATCTAAACTTTATGCATACCTGTATAGAAAACCACCAGTAGCATCACGTACATGGCCTCCCTCATTGCTCGGCAATTCTGAGTGACACAACAGAGCGATACACAGAAAGGAAATTCTTTGACGCACTCAAAAGATTGAAAAAAAGAAGTTTTTATTTAAGATAATATTTATTTATTTATTTATTTTATTATATATTAAAGAAGGACTACACTGCTATCACGTCCCAGTCTGCTTGAAGTGTGATGAGATACGAAATTCAATATAAAAAAACCCCACTGTCTAAGTCATTAGCTGAAGCAATATTCATGAGACGTGGTAGTATATTGTCATCCGAGCAGCAAACGTCGTTCATATCTTATAGTATATCTTTACCAAGGAGGTGGGAAGTATTAGCTCACAGAAGCGCTACATTCATGAGAGAAAGGGAGACAAAAATATTTCCAAAACTGACACTTTCGTGCCTAACCATTACGATTAACTCACCACACGTTCATTTGACCAAAAGAACCAGAAAAAGCCCAGAATTGATAACACAATAGTTGAAATTCAACCAACCTTGGCATAAGGTAGCTTCTTTCTGACTCGCAACACCCGAAGCCTATCAGAGCAAAAGAGAGAAAGAGACCTACGGAACTGCTCCTAACGGGAAACGCATACTCAGTATTAAGAAAGTCATACACGCACTACTCAGCAATCAGCTCAGATACTACCTAGACACTCCATCCAAAACACAGATTGAAATTTCCTCCTCTCAATGGCCAAATGATCAACATGCTCTCAGAAACTGCTCAACCGGAAGAAAACTCCAAGAAAAGATACCACTCTAGCTGCATCCGCTCCTCAAAAGCCAAAGCCATGAAATGTCACCACCCACATCGTACATACACACGTACAGGAGCAAGAATCCAAGATATCCCTGCGCATGCGCACAGGCGCCGCAGTACTAATTACAGTGATGAGCACGGTGAGCCAACTGTAATGCTCCAGCACCAAACAAGCCTGCCAGGATAATATTCCAGCTACCAATCCACTCGAGCAATCAGGGTACAGAGACTTTTGATCGAGACGAGAGTAACCTGCGAGCCACGACAGAAACACTGGAAAACGCAGGGGAATGGACGTGTTGTGAGGTAGAGAGGCCCGAGTGAGTCTTGTGAGTGTGTGTAAGGTGTAAGGCGAGGGGTTCACGGGATTTGACGGCGTTAATGGGAGTCAAGCTTGCTCTGTGACCACATTCTCTCCCGGGTATGGGACAAACGGGGGCGACAAACACGCAACTGATCCACCAAATAGCTTCTTCTGCAGCTGGGTAAGTTGCTTGATGTGATGATATACCTTACTCTCTCTCTCTCTCTTTCTCTCTCTCGCTCTCCCTCCTTTCCTCGCGCTCTGTCTGTCTGTCTGTCTGCAACTGACAAAAGGGGGCCACATGACTGCTCTGCCACGGCACTTCTCCAGTGGAGTTACTGGTAGACAAGGAGGATCTACCCAGTCACTCTTGCCACATCCTACCCCATGATGCCACCCTTTGCACTGCAGCCGGTTCCCCCTGCCAAACGACGCTGTGTCTTACAGAATTGGCCTCCAGGGACTGTTACAACATCCCCACCTGCTCGTTCCAACTTCTGAACATGCAGACAACAATCAGACCGTTCTCGCATGGTCTGAAACGGTTCCTCAAGCCAAGGGAATTTGCTCCAACTCTCGGATATGATACATCACGCTAACACACTCCCACTCGGCAATGCAAGAGATGGGTGCGCAGTGCGTCAATACCAATGCCGCAACGCATAATACGCTCCCCCAGGAAACAAGCTCCAAGATGTTTAAGCTTGCTACTCATCATGAAGCGGGATTCATTTCGCGAGGCAGGTAATGAATTATCTGTATGAGACACTGTGATGAGGACAAAGGTTCTGATCTTTCACTGATTGAGTGTTAAGCAATGATGAGGAATGCCCAGGCTTGGGATAAATTCGGAAATTGATCCATCCGTCGCTTCCCAGGTCGTGTTGAATTGCCGTGCCGAAAACTTGATCATGTTTCATTGCCTCTCACATTTGGGGTTCTTTTCTTTTCTTTCATTCTTTCTTCTGATGTTTTCTTCTTTCTTCTTTTTTCTTTTCTTCTGTAATAGTTGAATTCTACTATCACTAATTTGATGCCAAAAATAAGTTGTGAGAAATTATTACTTTGTGGGTGAGTTAAAAATAACAATAACACTAATAACAATAATAATGATAAGATTAAAAAATGCATCTTGTTTAAAATTAGAAGGCGAGAAGTGAAAAAGTGAAATATAAGTAAATGGTAAGAAGCAAAAAATCAGACAAGAGCACCATGAAGAAGCAACTCTGTAGGCAAGATCCCCTACAGATGCTATCACCCCCCACAATCCGTAGAGCCAGCAAAGCCGTCCAACTCCAGAAGAACAAAAGCCAGCTGCAATGACTCCCAGCTCGGATGAATGCAAATGGCTCTTCCACACTGATGCAAACCTCCCAGTGGACTTAGACACCCACCACATTGGATGAGTGTGCAAACAGCCGTTTCCTCACTGACACGAGAAGCAAGCAAGCTTTGATGAAGATGAGTAGGAGCAGACTCCACCACTCAAGACTGAGTCTTCAATAAGAGACTTCAAGTCCTGTGTATGTGTGAATGTGTTGGGTGTGGGCTGGGTCTGCCTTCATTGCTAACTGGGAGATGGAGAAGGGAATGAAGTCAATAGCAGGCAGGCATACAAGTAGGCATTCTTACAGTGAGTCCAGACCTAGTACTCCTCCTTTAAGCGCGCTCTGGCTGAATAGCCCCTAAAACCGTATAGTGGCCGCAGTTTTCATCCATCCAGATTCCAGTCTAGTTGCTGCCCGACCCGCTGCCCATGGACAGTGGGCGGGCAGCAAGCTGGGCAGCACCGACACTGGTATAAATTGTGTTAGATATTGGCTTACAACCAGCATCTGATGGTGCCTTTGGATTGATATACTGGGGGTGGGCATGTAAATTATTTTGTTGAAATTGCCTGATATCTATTCATGGATGATAGAAAAAAGGCTACCATGGTAGGGTTCTAGGGGAAATTCAGCCCCAGCACTCCTTTAAGTGCCACCCATAGTGCATAGTGGATGTGTTTGTCATTCATTCTGCCACCAAGGTCATCAGCTCCATGAGCCCATGCATCCACCTTTAGTGGTTTGTGATAAAGTTACATGAAAGCTGAACAGCCAAATAGGAAAAAATAAACAAAAACAAAAACACACAATAACAAAAACAAGAACAGACACGTTTTGGTGTGAAGTCCTGTCACATGATTATTCAACTCACTCACAAAGTTTCAAAAGATTAAAAGGGGTGTATTAGTGAAAGATAAAAACAAAAATGTTGAGAAGATGGAGGGTTTCTCTTGGAGAAGGAACTAGAATGTGTTGTGACATGGAGATTAACTCAAACAATGATTCTGTTGCTGAATCTACAAACTTTCAAGTAACCAACACCCAAAATTTCACCAATGTTTCAAAATGATAAGAATTAATGGTGTTTGCTTTCTTTTCGTTTCTAATAAATAATCATGATATTAATGTTCTATAAAATGGAGCATGGAAGTTGAGATCATGCTTGATTTTAACATCTGTAATTTTAATTCAAATTGTCTGAAAGTTTGTACTTTAGATTGGTATCTGGTTATTTGATCGGAAGAAGTGTTTCATTTCCAGAAAAGTACTAGTACATTCCCTGCTTTTACCTTGTACCTTAGATGATCAAAGATATCTGAAAGGTACAAGCAAACTTTTGTAATATATATGTATGTATTTGGAGGGAACTTATAAAACTTGATGAAAACTGTTGTTTGGTGTGAACTTTTCACAATACATCATAACAGGATTATACTTCTGCAAGATATGATTACCAATCACGTCCAGTGTATGATATTCTATTCTTCAAATCTCTCTGTATTGATAGTTCAAGATTGAATAATTTTGAAGATCTGTCTTTAACAATAAATCTAGATCTCCAATGCACCATTGGAAGATATATCAACATACTAAATTGAAAACTCTATGGAGTACTGATACGTTTTGTTTGTCATTAAAAAGGTAGTTATTAAACAATGTATAGTATTCTTTCCCAAATAGAATCTATTATAAATTCATTACTTCAGTACAGTTGATAGTTATCTCTTGTTTCAAGAAACTTGAGATACATTCTGGATCGAGAAGTAAGCTCATCAAGGATCCTGTCACTTTCACAGTACTTGATTCAAACCCTTCAAAAATCTTCAATCCTCCCACCTTCTAGTTTGTTAGAGTAAAATGGCTATTAGGGTTTGTGGAGTGCCATTGAGATCCGGCCTAGTTGCCGACTCTCTAGTCTGGATGGGTAGCACATTGAAGACAGAAAGACATTTAGGGTTTGAGTGCACAGCAAACCATAGCCCATTGTCTGCATTGGTGTACTTTGAACAATGGTCAGATTTAAAGCATGGGGACCTGGATCCAAATCAGTTATCATCAAAGAGTACAACCTACATTTGAAAATTATTCATTATGCTTGTGAGCATTCTGAGCATCAAAGTTTTCATGTACAGAGAATACTGAGTGATAGCCTGCAGTAACTCAACAGCAGATGTTGGCTGTACTTGGAAGAAGTGACGAAAACGCATGGGTAAGTGACAAAAAAAATGACAGAGAAGGCAAAGATCCTGCACAGATTCTGCAGATCAGGAATAAAAAATTAAAAAATCTTACCTCATCGTGCCAAAAAGCTATGCATGTGAACTGATCGATTATTAGAAAGCCCAAGGTGAAGATCCTGGACCTCTGGTACAAAGACCCTTCTATCTTCAACACCAAATAGGAGAGCCTTAAATCTTACAAAAAAGTAACAAAATGAAACGGTGAGCCAGTTTGATCCACATGTAATGCGCAGTAAATTTATGTATGATCCATCAGTCATTTGAAGAGCAATCACTTCGAAGGCCTTTCAAGTTCTAATTATTCCTCTTGGAAACAGTTTAGACTGGTGATAAAGGATTCGGGACCATTTGTGGCAGTAGACTCAGACGAGAAAAACTCATGGTAACACAAACGTCGCATTCACACAATGAGAGGTCTCGAGTCCAAGAGAGAACATAGTAGCTTCTGTATTGTCTGAGAAGGGCTGGCTTCAAATGCTGGTTTCAACCTACTGCAGACCAGCATGGTTGTAACACTAAAGCTACTTTTAAACCATACAGTTAGACTACGATCCACATGAACGGAATTTACAAAAGAAGGATTTCACAAAAGTTAGCAACGCAGACGTAAATCCGCGGTAAGCAAAATATCGATTGCTGATCAACCTGTTAGTCACCAAATTTACCTGTAAATCTCAAGTAGTACCACTATTCATAGGGGGGAAATAGTACAGTTTAGCACACCCTGTTAAAGACAACTCAGCAACTCGTCAAGACCGACTCATCTGAAAATCTACAAATCTATCAAAGTTGGCATAAATCGGACAATGGCATTGCCCATCAGATAAAGGGAGGGGTACAGAAAATGAAAAAGAAGGGAGGCGATTGGAAAATAGTAAGAAAGTAAACTACAAATTTTAAAAAATCGAAAAATTGGAAAATTGGAAAATAAAGTATCTGGTAATGAGAGTCAAACTGAACTGTTACACGATACTGGGGGCATCACCGGTCCAGTTACAAGTTGCGCGTTGCCACCGTGTGCGTATGCAATCAACAAGGGGGGCATGCTGGGCAGGTTCTGGAATTGAAGCACCCGCGACTGCAGAGCCTTGAGAGACCTCACATTGCTGCATCGCCTTGTACTCCTCCACCAGGACTGTGTCAGGGGTCCATTTGGGAGGGACAGATACCCGAATCATGGTCAATCGCGGCCGTTGCTGCGTCACATCTCCACTGGAGGCTACTGTCTTGGCAATTCCATTGAAGTGAAAAACTTTAAACTGTCGCTTGCCAAGAACAGCACCGGGGTCCTTCAGGCCACCTTTGCTCCTGTCAACTTGCAGAAGGGCTTGCCATAATTCGCTCCATACTACAATGTCACTGCTGCAAAGGTTGTTCAGCATGTCCTGCGGCACTTGAATGTTGAGGTCAAGCAAAATCTTTTGCAGAGCTTCAGGGCTAATGAACCCTCCTCCGCCACTCTGGTCCTGAGCATCAAATGCTTGACGCACTCGTATCTCGTGGTCCTCAATGTCTGATTCCTCTTGCACTGAAGGATCGAGAGCAAATAGAATGCTGTAATGAGATTCACTCCCAACCACCCAAATAGGCCACCTAGGATATTTCAAGTTGCGGCCGACTCGACATAAATTGAGTGATTCAAGGAGAGTGAGGAACCCGACTTCAACATCAGTTGAAATTCCCTTTATACTAACACCCCCTAAGTCCATGTTATTATCAAATACATTGGAAACGGCCTGTCCGCACAGGAGGAGATTCACAATTTCCTGCATTAAGCCAGTCCACACAGAACATCAGCATGATGCACACCCTATGGCAACTATGATGAAAGCTACTCAGATTATGCAGTCATGCAAATAAGTCACCAAATACAAGTGTTCCCAAAAAGTTCGCATTCGATACTCTCTTCTCTTTTTTTTCTTTTTTTTTTTTTTTTGCCACTCTAACTTGCATGAGACAACAGCAATTATGTACTATGCTAAAACTAGCGTCCTACACAACAATGCTGAAGTTCAAATTATTGTAAGACATGATCAACAGTTTAATGGAAGTAATACAAATGTACGTGAATAGAGAAATAATAATGAGCAGGATACCTGAGAGGCATGACCAAATGGAGATGTCACCATGGGCTGAACTGGATCATCCCTGTCAGAGTAAACCAAGTCCTGGTACCAAACCCGTAGTCAGAAGCAGCCAAGAACCACAGGAAAACCCAAGATATAAAAACAAAAAAACATAAAAAAACAAAATAAAAGGCATTACCCCAAGTCCAAGAGTGTAAGCAATTAGACCCAATATATATATATATATATATATATATATATATATATATATATTTTTACATCAGCCAAACCCCTTGAGTGGTAGAGCATGCAGGACATGACACTCCCCACAAGCGACAGGAATCAAATAAATACTCACAAGGCCTCTGGACAGAAGAAGCGAGAACAAAAGTAGAAGAGCTCCCCATGGACTTCTGAATTCAGGTAGCAAACTGCAGAGTTGTTGGTGTAGAGTGGAAATGGATGTCACTGTAGACACTCTGATCAATCGGTGCAACTCCTTCCCAGAGCTGAGACAGAGCACTTCCAACGCCTTTGCAATAGCCTAATACAGCAACCAGTCATGCCTAAGTAAACAACAAACCTCCTCGTACAAAAAGATAGCCCGAAGGGACAAACATACATGAAAAGATACAACTGATATAGATACGTTAAGAATTAGCAGCTGAGCTGGAAGTAACGCATTTTGTAAAGAAGAAAAGAACTAAAAAAATAAAATTAAAGAGAAGCAGCAATGAATCTTGTACGCTAGTGTGACAGATTCTATACAGAAAATCTTGGAGAGTTAGATGATAAACCTCATCCTGTTCTTGCTCATTGCTGCCATACTCGCAATACATTTCAGGGATATCTAACACAGCAACCACAGCTTTTCGCTTACCTCCAGCACGCCAAAGTGTCTCAGCCATAGCCTGAACAAGGGCCCTGCAAGCCAATCGCAAGGAGAGCAGAAGTGTAAACTCTTCATCCTCTCTAATCTTGCACAGCTTAAATCAAATTAAAATTAAAATTAAAAGTAAAGATAGAAACTAGAACAAACGATTTTCGAAAACATCAAGGATGTAATCCCAATTAATTTGACCCATGTTATCTCAATAGGCAAAAAGTAGAACAAAATATAATGTACCTCTGAATGAATCATAGCTATTGTCCACTTCAAATTGAGTCGCTAAAACCAACTTCAGAAATAGCAATAAAATTTTGCAAAGAGGTTTCTAAATTAATAGTTCATAAAGAGAAAACAATTAAAAGAAGCAAGGATCAAGTTCAAACTAATACATTAATGAGGGCTTCTAAGGACTAAAGCTGAGACCCTGGCTAAGGATTATCACCTCTGCCTCCCAGTGAAATACAAACCATTTTCAAACATGAATACATTAGAGCAGATAGTTATTTGCAACATAATCATCACCATACCAGGTTCTTTGGGTATCTGAAAATATCAGCTTAACTTCGACTGCATCATTACTGCCCGTCAGAAGTGGCTTCAAAGGAGAGGATCGCAAGGCAGGTTTGCCTTTCATACCAATGTCCTCCTCATCTTCCGTTATAAATAAAAGATACTTCAAAACCAAAGCCTGTTGTCAAAAACAATGAGACCCTTCAGGATTTTCAGACTTCTGCCACTAAATAACGAACCGTTTGTCTGCTTCGAATTCAAATTGCTTCACAACAATCTAAAACCTATCAACTCCTAGTGCGGATGTCCGACAATTGGATCAGCTAACATTCCCCAAGTGCAGCTACGTGCATATTGAAACATCAGATTTTTATATTCTGCTATTCAGACGGTCGACTGACTGCATCAACGTTTTAGATTAATATGTAATTTCGGTTCTTTTTATGTAAGGCAGTCTTCAACGAATCTTTGTAACGACTTTTCAGAACGACAGCAGTTCGAAGTGAGGGATGTATCCGCCCTTAGTAGTACTAAGGCATCGAGACCCCTGAAAGGAGAATACTGGTGAGGTACACAAACTCACTTGAATTGGAGCCAAGACTCCACAAGGACCCCCTTCCCGTTGAACAAGGCCTAATGATGTCTCTGCATCAGGACTGAACCTGCAAAATCCCAGAGCCTTACGACCTTGGAAATTTCCTTCGCCGATCCTTATGTAGGAAACAGTCCCAAATGTAACATACGTACCATACGAGGTTAATCTATGCCTTACTTTGATTTTCAAACAGAAGGACACTTTATCACAACGAACACAATAAACATGAAGATTCCTAAACACATTCAATTAGAGGATTAAAAACCGCAGCGTCTACCAAGCTAAAAAATAGTGATATTACGGGGGAAGGATGTAGGTCTAGCTAGACTGCATGTCTGAACAAAACGCTTAACATGAAACGTGAATGTATTATCAAATCCCTTTGAAAACAAGCTAGCAGGAGCTGCCTTGAAGATTGAACCAACTGGACTTTGCAGTGCATCGTCAGCATCGATTCGGTGATGTGGCAAGCCACTTCCAGGAACTTAAATTATGTCCCTGAAGCTGTAGACCAAGATTCTGCCCACCGTTCTCTAAAACTTCAATACACCTTACAGGAAGATATAAAGATAAAAAAATAAATAAAAAGGCAGGATATATCTGGACTCAAACCTAAAGCCTTGGTGACACCACTGGCAGAGAACATCCTTGGAGAAATTGCCACCAAATATCATCATGTGCAACTGTTCAGCCACTCGCAACGGCAGCTGTTGAGGCTCGTCCTCCACTCTCCTCTTTGCTCTATTCGAGTTCGTTTTCTCTACGGCATCCCGCAATGGCACAAGACCTTCGAATCGGTCCGTCGGCTTCGTAGACGTCCTGAGTTTAGTCAGGGGTGAGGCAACAGTATTGTCAACTGACACAGAAGAAGATGGATCGAGGGTCCCAAGGGCAGACAATCTTCTTTGTTCTGCTGCAGCAGCTCGAAGCTCCCGCTGAAGTCGCCGGTCCATAGCTTCTGGTGATTCAGTAAAACCTGTAACATCGCGAGGTTTACTGCGCTTGGCATCAGGAGCAGGCTGCAGACTCATTCGAAAAGCCCGCTGGAGCTCCTCATCATCATGTTCTCCCATGGTAAACCCGGGGTCCTCTGTGGTATCTATTTTGACTGTAATAGGTGTAATAGAATCACAACGAAAGCGTTGCTACAACACTGTAACTACACCTCTATATACCACCAAGTCACAAAGCATATAGCCCTTGCAATATGTGAACCCTACACACCATTCCGTTCGTAATTGGAAATGTTACAACCGTCTACTGCACGAAATCATCACAGATTGAAGAAGTCATGATGATTGCTACCACTACAAAATTCAGAATCCTTCGCGCAAGAAAACGCACCCTAAACCTTCTTTCCAAGGAATCTCAATACAGCAGCTTCCACAGTTCAAGTAACCACAAACCCTAACTCCGCCAGGCCAAATGTAACCAGAGAAACCAACCTCAGCTTCCACAACCCCAGCCAAATAAGATGACGGCATCAACGATAATCACCGATCCACAAACACCATGCCTGCAATCGTCACCTGGAATGCCAGGAAAGTCGACTGACTATCACAGCCGGATCGCACCGCAACCTTTTACAAGCTCTTCTATGCACCTCCTCCCATCAATTTCCAATCTCGGCACCAGAACTAAAGGTCCAAGATAATTTTTACTTCGCCTACTCGCGGCTAATCGACAGAGACACGAAATCGAATCAGGCCAATGTGATTTCACAGTGACGAGGGTTTCTAGTACGATTCACAGCGGGGCCTCGCTTGCTCGCTTGGCCTCCTCGTAAGAAACTTCCTCCCGAGGATGACGTGGCTATCCACGTCATCGGTGGTTCGACCAATCAACTCAGCCAGGGTTCACCATTCCTTAACTGTACAGATAGTAGACAGAGGGGGCAACAAGTTATTGCTTGATGTCAATGAATGGAACAAATTCCCTTTTCTCCATACAGTAATCATTCTTTGATGAATAGGTCAACTTGAGTATGAAAAACTGCCTAGTAGAATTTCAATTGCTGGTAGAGATTCTAAGGTTTTGCACTTGTGCAACTAATTGGCAAGGAGTAATGCAAAATCCTTTCTTTCTTTTTATTTTTGATTTCTTTTTTCACAAGATTGACCTAAGTTCAAAAGGCTTTGATGTTTTGAGTTTTTGAGTTTTGATGTTTAAATTTGGCTAGCTCCAAGTGTAGCATGCTGTCAACAAGCCTCTCTTCTAATTCTTTGTTTTAATATATTTTAGAAAATTCTCCCACCCTTGTGCTTTTAGGCTAGACATATGACTTTTTTTGTCTTCTGGCTCAAGGAAAATCTTGAATCTTAAAACATGTCTCTTGTATAAAGGCTTAGAACTAAATAAATTTTGCATTGATGGAAAAAATTTAATTAAGTAAAATATCCGCATGTAGTAGTATTACTGAGCATCAAGAATCTCTTTCAAGATTGCGGTACCAAATAAGTTATATCTTACTATCTATTTAAAAAGAGACATGTTTGTCTTGATGATCATCATCTTAATTCCAATACTGTGAAGGTTGAAACAACCTTAGTGCTTCATGTAGCAATTTTGTAAATAACAATTTTTCATATAAATTTGTTAAGTATTGGCTTTCCATCTTATGAAAAACTTCTAAGACTTGATCCTTTGACTTTTTTTATACCATCTTATTGTCCTTGGTTAATTTTTGATGTTGATAGATTTTATTATTGAAAAACATAAACAATTTCCTAATACATTTATAAGATTTTCACATTGCTCCCACAAGTATTCACTAACATCATATATATACCAATTTACAAGTAATTCTAATTTATGTTTGCATAGTCTTAAATCTAATATTTATTTTTATTTTGAATTCTTAATTTTTATCTATTTTAGTACAAAGTACAAGTAATTTTTTTCTTCTTAGAAAGTTGATTATAATATAAGGCTAAATAAAAGACATATAAAATATTTGATGGATCTTTTTGATTGTAATAATTTCAATCAATTGTAATTGGGTATATATTTTTTATTTGTATACTAAATGGATCAAAATTTTGATAATTTACTTTTTAGAAGATTAAATAATCTTAATATTACATCAAAGTAATCATTCTTTATAACCAACTTTGAATAAAAGTTGTTATTTTCGAAAAAAATCTCTATAAGTTTTTTTATTTTTTATTTTTGAGTTTTTTTGAGTAGCATCTTCATTATTGTGTAAAAATCTAATATATATTTCTTTCCAAATTTGTTTTGATAGATAATTAATAATTAAAAAATTAAAGGTATCAAATTTTAGATAGTAATCATAATTAGAAAAAAAACTATTAAGAAAAATAATGTCTTATATTGTTATATAAAAAATATGTTAATAATATAAAAAAATATATATTTATAATAACTAATAATGCATTACCAAGTCTATTTTAATGCTTGATTTTAAAAAAATTATTTGTATAATTATTTGAAGATGAATAATTAAAGTTAACTTAATATAAACCTTCAGTATATGAAAGAGTGTCCTCCAAAATTTTAGTATAAAATTAGGTCTTTTATTAGATATAATATCACTTTAAAGACTATAATATTAATAAATATTATCTAAGAAAATATAGTTTTTTCTTTACAAATAATATTTTATATATATAGTATAAAAGGTACCATTTTAATTGGATAATTTACCATTATAAAATGTAGAGTCTTAAAATTTTGAAATTCAAGGATTTGTAATAAAGTCCATTAAATCATATAACTAAGATTGCTTTAGAAAAGATAGAGTTTAAAAAACTTTATAAGATTAATGATATAGAGTCTTAGCTTGAGACTAAGTATTATAAGATTGAAAAAAAAAATTGACCAATATTTTATATTTAAAGCCACCAAAATTTAAGCATTTAAATTATAAAAAAACTTTAAAGTAGAAAAATACTTTTGTCTCTATTATAGAGTATCAAATATTTAAGCAACCATTCAAATTAAATTATTGTCAAAGAAAAAAGATTTTCTAATTTTTTTGGCAAGCTTGTTAAGATTGAACAACCACTCAAAAAAATAAAATAAAATATAAAATATAAAATAATATGAAAAAAAATTCTTTTATTATATAAATTTAGATATGCATATTTATATGCTAAAATGGAATAATTATTTATTTTATGTAATTCAATTAAACCTTTTAGAATATATTATCTTAAAATATTATTTTGCAAATAGATTCTCAAAACTAAACATGATGTTCAATGTTTTTTTTTGAGATTTACAAATTATTATTTCATGTTAATGAATTTTTTTTAAATTGTTACTTTGATTATACAATAAATTCTAAAGATATATTAAAATAGAGTAAATATATAGAAGTAATATTATAAAATTCAAAAACAACTCTTATTACATATTATTTAGATTCTTTAAAGTTATTATTATTGAAATAAATGAATTAGAATTTGTAATATGTGTATTTTTATTAAAATTGAATGCAAATGATAGATTCTATCCTATTCTTGTTTATTAAAGAAATTTTTGAATAGTAAAGACATATTATGAGATCTACAACAAAGAACTTCTTGATATTATAGATTCATTCTAAGAATTGTATCACTACTTAGAAGGCACTTTTTATCACATCACAATTTATATTGATTATAAAAATCTTAAGTATTTTATGTCAAGTTATGCTTTAAATTGTCACTAAGTTTATTGGAGAATGTTATTTTCAAGATTTGTATTTGATATTATATATTTTTGTGCAAATCAACATAGCTTATTAAATTCCTTTTCAAGATGTTTTTATCTTATAATAAAAGAATGAATTACAGTATTTATGATAAAAAAAAACTATTCTTTTAAAATTAGAGCAATTATATCTTTAAGCTGTTAAGTCAATAATTCTAATTAATATTTTTTTTTTGTTAAAATTTATTTAAATATGTTCACTGACCCTCTTACTCTTAATATTATAAATAATCTTCGTAATGACTACAATAAATTTAGGTTCAAAGAAAATCTCCTTTATTATAAAAGATGTTTATATATTCTCAAAGATTAAGTACAATTATTAGATTATAAGCACAACATGACTTTTTAGTAGTAAGTTGCTTTGAACATAATAAAACTTTAGAAATAATTTTAAAAGATTTTTGGTAGCTTCAAATCTAAAAAAATAAAAGAATCTTTTTAAGCTTAATTTTTTTTAATTTATTCAAATATTGTTTTTAAGCTTAAAAGGCCACTTCAGCTTAACAAGCTTACAAAATCAATTCAAAAATCTTCCTTCTATGAAAAGATTTGTTTTTAGTGGCTATTAAAGCTTGATGATCTTGCTAGATAAAATTTTAATTTTTTCTTCTTTACCTATAAATATAAATATATATATATATATATATATATATTAAGTAATTTCATGATTCTCACAAGCTCCAAATAAATTTGAAAATATTTCTTCTTTGATAAAAATTAAGTTGAGTGGTTTTTTAAGTTTGATAAGCTTACTAAATGAATTAATTTTTTTTCTTTGATAATACTACAAAAAATAATTTTCAATTATAACTAAAAATTTTCAAAATCTAAAGAACCATCATTGATCTTTAAAATCCAATTTCTAAGATACTAATTAACTTGAACCTCAATTCTTTTTGATTTGAAAATCCAATAAAGCACAAATTTGTAATCCACATTTAGCACAATAATGTCTAAAAATCCACAAAATTTCACCCATAAATGTACTATAAAATTTTAAATAACTAGAAAAAATCATATTTTTTATTTTATTTAATAAAAAATAGAGTCATTAAAAAAATCTTAATTTTTCTAGGCTTTTATAAATTCAATATAAACTCAAATCACTCAAGATTAATATCCATAGAAATTCTATTAAATTTTCCTTGAAATTTTATATTCTAAATAAACAAAAAAAATCCCATTTATTATAGGTGCATGGTTTTTTGTTTTAGACTCTATTTTCAATTTTAGTTCATAATCAACCATCTATAGATACCAATCTAAGATTTATTTAAGTAATTTTTCTTGATTGCTATCTTTATTTTTATATTAAGATGCATGTGATATTTTTTTTAATCTATCTTATTTTGATTTGTTTATAGTCTTATAAAGTAAGTACAAGTTTTTTTTTATAAAAGGTAACATTAGCACTTATTAGTTTTCTTACCTCCTTAACTACCATTAATTTTTAAGTAATTTGTTACTTTTTTTTAAAATAATTTCTCCTAAAATATATATTTTATTGTCTCTTTCATCTAATAGTTGTATTATAACATAAAATCTATCTTTTTTGAATATGTACATTATTTGGCTTATATTAATTATTCTTCAATATATTGATGTAAGATCTTATCTATCTTGGTCAAAGACTTAGTAAAATAATCTCATTCTAATATCAATCAATATATTTTGTTCTTTACAAAAATAAGTGCATTCATTTCTTTTTCTAAATAATAGGACTTACTTGAATTTTAGAAGTATCTTTGATTTTTTTCTATAAAATTCCTATAATAAGTATATATCATTTTTATAAATGATTTTTATAACATGTAGTCTAAATTAATATTTTAATTTTTTTTAATGTATTATATTGACTATTTAGACTATTTTTACAGTCTAAGATCCAATCACCATCTTCAATTTCTTTAGATTGTGATTGATGATTTTTATTAAATCTTACTTTATTATCTTTTCTTATTTCTTTCAACATATCTATAGTTGCTTTAATATTATCACATCTTCTTTTTAATTATTGAATTAATAATATTA